CCTCGAGACCAACCACGCCGACGACGCCGTCACGCACTTTGAGGCCGCGCTCGCCGCGCGCAAAGCCATTGGCGACGCCGAGTGCATCCGCCTCGCCAAGTGGATGGTGGCCCGCGGTCTGCGCGCGGCCAAGAAGAACGAAGACGCCATCAAGGTCCTCGCCGAGCTCGAGACCGAGTACGCGTCGATCGACGACTGCGACGGCTACGTCTGCGAAGAGATGGCCGAGAACCTCCACGAGCTCGGCCAGGACGAGGCCGCCAAGCCGTACTTTAAGAAGGCGTGGACCGCGCTCCAGAACGACACGCTCATGTGCGAGCACCACCCCGAGCACCGTCTCGAGCGTCTCCACGAGCTCGGCAACTAGGGTGTAGATATTGTTTTCCGTAACGAATACTGTTGTATGTACACGTGGCGTGCAGAGTGCGGCGAAAGTTCACATTTCTGTCGGTAAAATACATCGATGAAAATGTGGTCTTTGACGCCTTGCGATCCGCACTGGCGCGAAGCAGTATCTCTTGCCTTGGTTGCTCGGCCGTGCGTTGTCGGTTCTGCGCGGTTGGCATTCTTTGGCGTCGAGAAGGTTCGAGTTGAGGCTGTGTTCTTGCCGCGTCGTATCTTCGTTGCATGTACCTCGTCACGTGCAATGAGACTTGCGTGAAATCGACGAACTCTCGTAAGGTGAATCGGCGTTGGCTAATGTTTACCGCATAGTCAAAAGGACATTGCGAGGATGCCTACCGTATATTTGCTTGTTGGTTCAAGACTGGAGGATCATTCTGTGCATATTACTTGCATTGCTAGCGCATAACAAGCCCTGAAAGGCGCACAGCGCGACGCGGAAATTCGTGCCTACCGGAAATTGGGTTGGAGGCCGGACGACCCTAGAAATAGGACCTTCGATCCGTAGAATTTGAATAACTCATTAAATGAGTTATTCAATGTCCGGGTCGTTGTTGAAATCTTCAACAACGACCCGGACACGGCGAGCGGTTGTGTTTTGGTCTGTCACATATCTTCTCGCAATCTGATTGGCCCCTTCGTTATCCGGATGGCCATCAATGACAACCAAACACGAGCGAACGCGATCCGGTCAAATCCTGTCAGATTCACCGCGCACCAGCAACAAGCTTTGAACTCACAACTCATTCTGCTTCCTCCCAGCAACACTACCAGCAGCATGCTCGCTCGCAACATCGCCCTCTTCGACGCCCCCAAGCCCTACGGCCTCATGTGCTTGACGGTCACCATCCACGAAGCGCGCCAAACGCACGCCTCCGCCGTGTACGCCCAAATCAAGGTCCGCGACGACGTCCAGCTCCAGACAACGAGCGCCAACAACGACTGGAACGAAACCTTCCACATCTACGTCGCCGAGCCCCGCGACGAGACGCTGTCCATCCAGCTCACTGACGCCTCGGCGTGGTTCAGTGGTGACGCCGGTGCCTGCACGATTCCGCTGGCGGGCCTCTTGAGCGGCGCGTCTGTGGATGCGTGGTTCCCGCTCACGGTCCGCGGCTCCCAGCAGGGCGAGGTCCGCTTGGGGTTGCAGCTCCGCGGTGACATTGCGACGTATGTCAAGGTGCACGGCGTTGATGTGACCAAGGCGCAGCCGCTGGCGTCGCCGGCCGGGACCACGGCAGCGGCGGCCTAGACGCGTGTAGTCGTTTCGCCGTATTTACTTCTATTAACCTTCAAACTTTATCGACCACTATGTCTTGATGGGATCTTCCACATTGCAGCATTGCACCAAGTTGTCAACCTGTCAAATACACTGTAACAGTGGATGCCTGTGAAACTAAATAGGTTACGATATGCAGTACTTCATGAAACCTGCATCATTTGATTTTACTGCCATGACCTTGACCCTGGAAGCACAGCCATGTGGCCCAGTGCTCGGAACCCACGGCTGCTCGAAGCGGCTCTTCGCTCGACGAGCCCATGGAGAGCGCGTCCATGTTCGCGACCGAGTCGTTGAGTGGACGCAGGCGAATGGTGCGGTGTGCGACCGGACCTTCCGCTTCGACGCGCCACCGCTCGACGTGGCCGTGCTGGCCGACGACGCCGACGATGAAGCAGCGACGCGCAAGAGTCTCTGCGTCTTGACGAGCCCCGATACGATCACGTTCATCTCGGCGATGGGCACGGTCACGGACGTTCCACTGCCCTTCAAGGCGGCCGCGATCTTCGCCATGACCAAAGGTATCTTGATCCAGCGGCAGGCGACGTCGCTCGTTCAAGCATCCGCGAGAGCCGGAAGGAGCCCGACGCTCTTTAGTCTCGTGCATCCGCTCGAAGAGATCAAGCCCGTCGTGCTCGAGACGCTGTCGGAGCCGCGGAGCTGCATGTTCGTCGCCGACCCGCTCGCGTCGGTGGTCCACGTACACGAGTCACCGCCGTTCGTTGTCTTTTACCACCACGACAAGACAACGCTGAGCATCAAGAGCATCATATCGTCGGCGCCCTCCGCGTCCAAGCCCAGCTCGATCGTTGCCGAGATCGTCTTGCGTGGAATTTGGGAGAGCCCCGAGCTCCCCAGCTCGGACCCGAGCGACACGAGCATCTTTGTCGCAAGCGACGTCGACGGGCAGCCTCTTCTCGCCATGATGCATCGCCCGAGCGCGCAGCTTCTTCTCCAACAGCTCGCATGGGACGGCTTGGAGCTCACGGTCCATCACGCGTCGCCGACAACGTTCCTTCCGTGCTGCGATGCAGTGCCGTTGCGTCGCGAGCACTTGTCCACCTTTGGCTACGACGTTCTCGTGCAAGAGCGTGATAGGCAACGTCTCGCGCTGTACCGAGGAGCTCATCGTCTGTGCGTCGTCACCATCGACGCGCCACGTCCAGAGCGACGCGCAAAACTCCCTGCCTTTGGGCCCTCGAGCCCGATTGCAGCGCGCCCGGACGCGCCCAGTTTCGATATGACGGATGCGATGCTCGACGAGACGCTTCCTCCCGTCGGAGAGCCGACGATCGCGGCTGGGGCCGCGCCTCTGACATTTGAAGTCACGCACAGCGATGGACGCTGTCAGCAGTTCCTTCTGCCGCTCAGCCTTGCGGCCTACCCGCTTCTACACCGGGCCTTTGCCGTCCTCGATGCACTGCTACCTCCACAGTTGGCGCTCACATGGCGCCTGCAGGTGGTCGCGAGTCCCGAGCCGTGGGCTGCGTTTCAGAGCGCGCTCGTGCCGCCGATGGCACCAATGGAGCCTCCCATGTCTGCGTTTGAGAGGTTGCAAGCCTCAACCTTTCACGCTACGTACTACGGACTTCCGCTCTCCGGGCCTCGCACCTCGCGCCGAAGTGTACGCACCAACGTGCGAACAAGGCCAATACCCGCACTCGACGAGCACATACGAGACATCTTTTGTGGGCTGCACTTGCTCTACGAAGACTTGAAGCTCTCGAGCCTTGTCTCGTTGCTCGTTGCTCCGCTCGGTGATATTCTCCATGCAATCGCGAGCACGCATCGCTGGACGTCGTACGTCGCACACTACGCGGCCGACCATGGACCACGGCCGATGGTAGCAGCAGCCGCCAAAGCACTGCCCGATCCCTTTCAAGGCCGTTGCAACGCGAGTCCTGTCGATATTTTTGCGTGGCTCCAGCACAAGATGGCGACCCATCACTTCAACACAATGGAAGCCAACAAGAGTCAAGGCGTTGGACGCCAAGTGGACGCGTACCCGACGCTGCCTGTCCTAGCGCAAACGGCGACGGTCCTCGAACTCTACGACGCACTGTACCCGGAGGCCCCGATGCCGCTGCACGCGCGGGCGCGCTGCGTTGTCGCACGTCTTGCGGCGCTCTCGCTGCCGTGGGAGGACCTCCCGGTCGGCGTCGCATTGCCGCTCAAGTACGCCGTGTATGTAACTAAGCACTTTCCCGATGCGTCCTTGAGCCCGGCCGAGTGCCGCCTCGTGAACCGAGCCGACTTGCTTCCGGAGCACGACGTGCCGTGTGCACTGCCTTTGGTCGACAAGGAAACGCTGGACGCATCACGGGACAATGACGACGGGTTCTCCGACGTCCTTATCGCGAGTCAACCGCTCTTTCCAAAAGACCAGCGGCTCAAGGAGGTCTCTCGACTACTGCGCTCCAACAAGCCGATGCTGCTCAAAGTCCAACGCGAGGCGCACCATTCGGACGCAGATGTGCTCTCGCTGCAGCAAGCGCGACTGCTCTTGCTCTGTAAGCGCTCGATGAGCTTGTCGGTCGGTCGCGGCATGGTGACGCTCGGGAGCTTGACCGCGCAGCAGTCGTCGGTGTCGCCATATACGGCGCGGCTGTCGATCCCGCAGCTGCCGCTCACCGCGCGTGTGTCGGGCACGAACGCCAAGACTGTGCTTGACATTTCTGGCTACAAGGAGATTACGCATTGGCCGCAGTTTCACAACGGTGTCGCGACCGCACTGCGACTCTCGCCACACGACCGCGTCACGGTGCAGTGGGTGCTCTCGCATCAGCCCAAGCCGAGCACCGACGAGTCGGACGAAGCGGTTCGCTTGTACGAAGAAGCGTGTGCGGGCCACGCAGGCTTTCTCTTTGGTCTTGGTCTCCAAGGCCAGCTGCAATGCCAATCGCCGACAACAACGTACAAGTATCTCTCGCTTGGCGACGAGCTCACGTCCGTCGGCTTCCTCCTTGGCACGGCCGCGAGCACGCTGCATCATCCAAAAGACATGAACATCGAGCGCGCGGTCTCCAAGATGCTTTCGATGCACATTCCGTCGCTGTGGCCGCCGTCGTTTGCGCACTTGCACGTACCGGCGTCGGCCCAAACCGCCGCCATCATGGGTCTCGGGCTGCTCTACCACAGCACGGGCAACCGTCTCATGACGGAATTCCTCCTCACGGAAATGACCCAAGGCCCGGTTATGACAAGTGCCGGCGCTGCCTCGGGTACGGCCGCAACGCCGTCGACCGAAACGGTGCAGTTTGAAGGCTACGCGCTCACGACCGGCTTTGCGCTCGGACTCATTTTGCTCGGGCGAGAGAGTGACCCAGGGCTTGTGGACCTCAACGTGGATGCGAAGCTCACCAAGTACATGCTCGGCGGCGAGAAGGAGCGCGGCCATGGGTCGTGGGCGCCTACCGAGCTCAACTGCGTCCTCCGAACGCGCAAGTTGCAGCAGCGCGAGCTCATCAACGTCGACGTAACCGCGTCCGGCTCGGCGCTCGCGCTCGCGTTCATGTACATGTGGAGCAACAGCGCGTCGATCGGCCAGCGGCTCCACGTGCCGTCGACGCTCGTGCTCCTCGAGACCATCCGACCCGACGTGCTCTTTGTGCGTGCGCTGGCGGCCAACCTCGTGCTCTGGAACAGTATCGAGCCGACGCGCGCGTGGGTGCTCAACAAGCAGCTCCCGCCACCGCTTCGCCCGAGCGGCCTGCTGCACTGGGTCGCCATCGACGACGGCGGCGATCCGACAACGATCCAAGAGGCGTACGCCAACATCATTGCTGGCGCGTGCTTTAGCATTGGGTTGAAGTTTGCGGGCACACACCACCCTGGCGCCAAGGGCGTCCTCATGAGCTTCCTCGACGAGTTCCAGCTCTGGCGCGCCAAGCTCGGGCGGGCCGCCAACGTGAGCCGCGTGACGCTCGAGCGCGTTCTTGGCACGATTGCGCAGTCGCTGGCGCTTGTCATGGCCGGTACGGGGGACCTCGAATGCCTCCGCCTACTGCGGTCGCTTCTGCTGCGGCAAAAGGCCGACGCGCAGGGCGACATTACGTACGGCAACCACATGGCCATGAGCTCGGCGCTCGGTCTTCTCTTTCTCGGTGGTGGCCGCTGCTCATTGCGTAGCTCCCGCCTCGCAACCGCGATGCTCGTCGTCGCCTTGTACCCACTGTACCCGACCAAGACGACAGACCAGCGCTACCACTTGCAAGCCCTTCGGCATCTGTATGTGCTCGCGATCGACCGGTCGCGGCTCGTGCGGGCGCTGGACGTCGACACGCATCACTGGACACCGATGCCCCTCCGCATATGGACGCAGTTTGGCGCCGCGCCATTGGAGGTGCGCACGCCGACGCTGCTGCCCGCACGAAGAATGCTGTGCCGGCTCGAGACGGCAGCGAACGATCATTTTCCGATCGTAATCGACTGGCGCACGAATGCCAACAGCCGCGCGTTGCTCTTGGAGCAGCACGGCGTGCTTCGCATCAAGCGCAAGCTGGGGGCCGATGCGCCGCGCGCGACGTTCTTTGCGTCGTTTTCAAACCTCTTTGCGACCGCGTCGACGCACGAGTCGGCCGCCACGTGGATTGCGTTTTGCGCGCGCTTGTACGAAGAATGCAAGCGTGAGAACAAGCCCGACTGCATCGCCGTCTATCTGAACGCCAAGCGCACCGAGGTCGACGTACTCGAGCGCCGCATCACGCACACACTGCTCGTCGCCAACCTCCAGCTTGTGCAGCTGCACATGGAGCTCGATGCGCACATGTTTCGAGCCTGTGACGACGACGCATCGACCGAGCCGCACCGTGTTGGCCGCCTTGCGCAGCTCGTGAACGAAGACTTTACCCTCGGCTACAGCAATGCGCTCTTGGCGTCCTTCGAACAATTGGCGCTGCCCACCTCGATCGAGACAAACGAACCACCCAGCTCCCTCCTGCATGCCGCCTACCGCCGATACCTCGGGTCCCCGCTTCTCGCCCAGCTCGAATAGCTGACGCTATCGTTGATCACTCTCGTCCATCCTCCAAGAATGCAATAACCAAGCACTGATGATAGAACATGCAGACTAGTATTAGATATATATCGACTAGATAGAAACGACTCTAGTTGCCGAGCTCGTGGAGACGCTCGAGACGGTGCTCGGGGTGGTGCTCGCACATGAGCGTGTCGTTCTGGAGCGCGGTCCACGCCTTCTTAAAGTACGGCTTGGCGGCCTCGTCCTGGCCGAGCTCGTGGAGGTTCTCGGCCATCTCTTCGCAGACGTAGCCGTCGCAGTCGTCAATCGACGCGTACTCGGTCTCGAGCTCGGCGAGGACCTTGATGGCGTCTTCGTTCTTCTTGGCCGCGCGCAGACCGCGGGCCACCATCCACTTGGC